CATATCAAATAACATATATTTTTGTATAAGAGAATGACATGGGCAGTACAATTAGATGTGTGAAACTTTTTGCATAACACACACAAAAAAAGACAGATCTTACATGAATGTCAAAACACAAGAAATTATGATAATTTGTATCATCTATTTTAACAAAAAGTAAATATTTACTCTTTTTAACATATAATAAATTAATCATTAAACTTGATAGTTATATATGACAAATTCAGAGGAGAAAACAAAAGAAAAAATGGCTGCTGAGATTGAAGTAACATCTGATGGTTCTCTCAACATGAAAGAAATGAAAAATCGAATATTCATAGAAGTTGCTAGAAAAGAAAGGCATGGACAGGTTCGAGGCCTTGGATTGGGTCCAACACCATCTGCGTATTATGGACATAGTTATCCGCAATTTACATTCTCAGCAAGTCAGTCTTCGCAAGATATTTCAATATTAATAGGGGAGTTGCAAACTATGCAATAATATTTTTAGCAAATGAAAGCAGAAAGCGAACAAGAGCGTATCAAAATTAAGGAAAAACGTGCTAGAATGGAGCAATAGCATGCTAAATTTCAGCAGTTGCATGATTGATTCGATCATCTTATGAATTTTATGCAACAATAATTTTTAAAAAATGATCTTGGTGCTCCACCAACTTAGGTATTATATTTAGTAAATATTTAAATATTTAAATATATAAAAAGCCTACGTGAAGTGTTAAAAATTATATGGTATTATTCAGTAAGTTTTGAGCATGCTAGTGACTAAGGTGAAAAATTTTCTTTATCAATTGGCAGCCAGCAAAATATATATAGTATTCATTTCATGCATTTTAATTTTTTATTTTGTTAATGTATATAAAATATTTGAATGTTATTATACTAATTATTAAACTTTGTATTAATTAGATGTATATTTAAACGTAAATGAAGTTAATATAAATTTCATTTTTTGAATTTAAGCTTTTTAATGAAAATAAAATTTATAAAAGAATTTAGAAAAAAATACATTTTTACATAATGGCAATGTTTGCGTTCATTGTAGGCTGCTAAATGAATAATTTAGTGGCGTTTATAGCATAAAATGCCATTATAAGTAGCGACACTATTAACAAAAATGCTGCTTGTTAAGTGACATTTTTCTCATAAAAACGTCACTAAAATAATGGTGTTTTTCTCATAAAAATGCCACTAAATTAGCAATGTCTAAAAGATATAAATGCTACTAATATAGAGGCATTTTTAGATTCAAACGCTTCTAAAGTAACAACATTTTTAGTTATAAACACTATCAAAGCAATGTCGTTTTTCTCATAAAATATCACTGAATTAGCGGAGTCTAAAAGATACAAACGCCACTAATGTAGAGGTGTTTTCAGATTCAAACGCCTCTAAAGTAGCGACGTTTTCAGTTACAAATGCCACCAATGCAACATCATTTTTTCTCATATAAACGTCACTAATTTAGCGACTTTTCAAAGATAGAAATGCCGTTAAAATGACGATGTTTTAGATATAAATGCCGTTTAATATTAAGGTTTTTTTTTGAAAATGCCGTTATTTACTACGACGCGTGAATAGCCGGTAATTTGCATGGCGTTTTTCGCAAATGCTGCAAATCTTTTTGTGGTGTTTATAGACACCGTTAAACGTTAAAAAAATGTCACTAAAAATCAAAACTCCTGTAGTGTATATCCAATTATCTTCAGGATTTATAATTGTGCAAACTTGAATTTTGGTTATGATAAGTTGTTTTGGTGGATTCTTGATAGGAATATGATTCTAATTCTGTGTTTGGTTATTTATTCTTGGATTCAAGGTTGAACTCAGGCTTCATTTTCACTACTTTGTTTGAAGTTGATATCAAATTTCAAGAACTGAATTTCAGTAACTCAGGTGACAGTTCTAATAGCTTTTGATCGTTTTTTAATCTTCTTTTTATTATATCTTATGTTCTGAAATATGGGCATTTTAATCATTGATGCTACCTTAAGGAAATGCAGTTTTTTTTTCTTTTTTTGGCAATTTCGTGTTTTTTTCTCTTTTTGGGGTACCTTAGTATAAATAGCCATGGAGTTACAGGAATGGCTGGGGCTAGGTCCTAGGAGAATTGGGTTTTTTTTTTAGGACAAAATCCCATTTTCAAGCCCCATTTGTCTTCTAATATTGTATGATGAAACAGTACAAAAAAGAGTTGTTAGTACATTGTAAATCCTATGTATTTATTAACTACTTTTATTAATTCCTGAAAATTCAAAAGATATTTCCTTTCCCATTACTTTGAAAAGGAAAAAAGGAAGTGAAAGTCCAAACCAAAAGGGACCCAAAATTCAAAAGGTTAAAATTGCAAACTTGTCAGTGCATTAGGTTTAGGCACCCTTTTACAAGTTTTCTCCTCATTAAAATGCATAGTTTCTTTGAGGAAATCTATATTTTCTTAGGTAATCTTCTCCTATCATACAATTTTTTTTTTATGTATGTAGGCCATAGAATATTTTTCTTTGATTTTAGTGGCATCGATATGTTACTGTTTAATCCACTTAATCATATTTTAAAAATTAAGATGAAATTCAGAGTTTAAAACTATAATCCTTTTTTTATCCTCATATTGTGATTTTTTTATATAAAAAATTAAGAACTGAGGATATAAGTGACGTAGCTGAATCATGTGCTGAAGCAAATTATTGGAAATATTTATATTTGTTCATCTTAAACATTTTTCTGTTGAAGATATTTGTTTCTTCATCTATATCCATCCTAGCTAGCTAACTGGTGGCCAACCTGAAATGACCAGACTCGTTCTCCATTTCTAGCCTTAGTCAAGCTTTGAGGAAACTTTCTTTATTTTCTTCTTGATCTTATCTTCTTACCAATTTTCCCACATGATTGTATCATGAATCAGTACTGAGACACAGATAAGATTTCCAGCAACCCTATTATGCCTCACTCCTACTTCAAAATTTTTTTATAATCAATGCCCTTGCCAATCTGAACATTGCCTAGTAAGCTTATGATTATATATATGTTTTGGTTCATGAATCTTAATTTTTTTTCTTTTGTTATAATTTTATGATACATGAATTTTCATTATTCATGAAATGAGAGTTGATATGAAATTGAAATTACAAAGATAGAGTCCCTTGTTTTTATTGATTTTTTTTTGCCCCAAATGGGATAACGCAAGCCTAAATGCAATTAAAACCTGACTTCAAAGTTTTGTAACGTCGTGTAGTTTATCCAAAAGAGAATAAAACAGTGAAATGTGTTAAGATTCAACTTAAAATTAATTAACAATAAGTAAAGGAGTTCATTTTAAATATAAAATTATAAAAAATTAAATATTTAATAGAGGTAAAATAATATTATTTTAATAAGCTCTCATCACATGTAAATAGAGATTGAAGAAATTTTTCACATGATAGATTTAAAAAAAATAACAAAAAAAAATTTAACTAAGATATCATGTTAATTATTTAACTTCAAATCAATTGATAATAAGTAAAATAATCCAACTTAAATATAAAACTATAAAAAATTAAAATTTTAATAGTTATGAAATAATATCACTTCAACAAAATGGTCAACTTCTTTGAATGGTTTGATTTGGATAAGTTGGTTTGGTGAAGGCATAACCAGTTTTATACTATTAATAAACATGAAGACAAATAAAAATGATCAAATTCTTAAAGTTGTCAGCTTCAAACTTGGTGATGTATGACAATGGAGCAATTTATGAACTACTCATATTGAAAAAATCACGTGTTTATTAATATTTTTTCAAGCTGACAAAAGATTTGTAGGTTTTGCCTGTTTTGCCTACCATTTTTTTTTTTGAATCAGTCTAACCAAGTTTATTTACACTAATTTATCAAATTAATGAAAAATTATTTTTCTGTAATCTCTCAATAAATTTGAAAACAGACAACAAAGAGAGGAACTAATAAATAATTTTCCTGGGGTAATATAAAGAATTAGGTGTGGCATATGAGGCTAGTGTGACATCTCAAGTTTATATTGAGATATTTTGAGAATCTGTAATGAATATAAGTTGAGATTTAAACTTAAATTTGAGAAATAATTTTTGTAGTATAAAATCGTGAGATCTTTATATCAAAACAGATAATATTTTATGCAAGTCTTTATAAAAGACGTCTCACAAATTTAGGTTTAGACATCAACTTATATATCATAACAGATCCTCAGAATATTTTAATGTAGGATTAGATCACAAACTCCCATATTAAAACTTGATATCTTCATTAAGCTCAATACCAAACACACAAATCTATCAAATCACATCAAACGTTAGACAAATGTAGACCCAAAGTTAATCTGTAAGATATTGTTTATTTTGATTTAAATGTCTCACGATTTAAGTTTATATCTCAATTTATATATTATAAAAATTTTTTAAAATATCCCGACATGAGATTGAGATGTCACGGTTAGAGATTTAGTATGAGTGCAGAGTATATCCAGGTGACTCTTAAGATCAATTTGCGGTTTAATAATGAAAGTTAGGCAGCAAATCTTGCATGTCATAATCATCTATAAAATGCTGATATAGTATGAAAAGTATAGAGTTCTAATCTGTTTTCGTAACGTCATGACCATAGCCGTTTTAATTGAACAAACGTGTTTACTTATGCTGCTCGTGAATCACATTTTAAGTTTTGGTCATGTTTTTCCACAAGGGAAATGGTTTAAATTGATTCAACTTCTTCCTCAAGGATCAATAAGCAAGAAAACATTAATCTTCCAATTTCCGAGTCTTTTGTTTCATTCTTTCTCTCTTGAGAAAGTGCTAACTGCTAAGAACAACCACGAATGCAGTAGTAGCAACCAACAGAAACTTTAAGCTAGCAGCCCGGCCTCTTGGTTTGGACTCCAAGCTTGAAAAGAGTTTGCTCATTCCTTTCGGGCAAATCAAGGTGATTAAATTTCTCTTTGCTCAATGACCAAAAAATTTCTCTTTGTTCAATGGCCAAAAAAATGTATCTATGGAGGATCAAAGGGGACTTAGAGATAATGTTCCGATAACATTCAACTACTCGTTTAACCAGTGATGCTGATCTCTGATAGATTTACTCTTTTTTCTACCATGCCACTCTGATTGATCTTAAACATATCTTGCAGGTTGAATGCACCATACCTAAAGATGATGGTATTTCGGCATCTTTTGTTGGGTTCAGGGTTCAGCATGACAATGCAAGAGACCCCATGAAAGGAGGAATCAGAAATCACCCAGAGGTTGTTTACATTCTGCTGTTTGGAATCTTCCGAAATATGGTAATAGCAGAAAGTTATTCTCCTAGCTTCCCAACTTTTTCTACCAACAAATGAACTTTAAAATTACCATGCCTGGTAGGATTATGATGAAGTGAATGCTTTAGCACAACTAACGACATGGAAGACTGCAGTTGCCAATATCCCATATTGTGGAGCTAAAGGTGGGATAGGATGTGATCCAGGAAAGTTAAGCATATCTGAGCTAGAACGGCTTACTCGAGTTTTTACCCAAAAGGTACATGACCTGATTGGAACTCACACAGATGTTCCAGCGCCTGACATGGGAACAGGTCCACAGGTACAATTAATATGCCTCAAATATCTCAAATCTACCCATTCCATTCCTGCTACCACTTGCAGATGGACTAGTTGGTTCTAGGGTTTGAAAAGTGAACTTAGAAATTGATAATAGTATTTTCTGTTGATCAAACAGACAATGGCATGGATACTAGATGAGTACTCCAAATTCCATGGCTATTTACCTGTTGTAGTGACTGGAAAACCAACCGACAGTATATCCAAAGAGAAAGAGAGCATTCAACTTCACATTGTATTATTATTCTTACCCTTTTTCCTTTAGGATCTCGGAGGATCACTTGGCAGAGATGCCGCTACTGGCAGAGGAGTGCTCTTTGCCACAGAGGCCTTTCTTAATGAGCATGGAAAGACCATCTCTGGACAAAAATTTGTAATACAGGTGTACCTCGATGGCAAGATTTTGATACAAATACGGTTAATATAATGGTAAGTTTTTTCCCTCAAAAGTACCATTTCTTAAACTGATGAATGAAAATTTCATTTCAGGGTTTTGGAAATGTTGGTTCCGGGGCTGCTCAGTTCACCCATGAAAAGGGTGGGAAGGTTGTTGCTGTAAGCGATATCACAGGAGCCATAAAGAACAGGAAAGGAATTGATATTCCCAGCCTACTCAAGCATGCCAAAGAAAACAAGGGTGTCAAAGGATTCCATGGTGGGAACTCTATAGATCCCGAGTCAATTCTGGTTGAAGAATGTGACATACTCATCCCAGCAGCACTTGGTGGCGTCATCAACAGGTTTCTTTTTCTGCAACAACAACGTTTTGTTAACAAAACCCAGCCATATATACTTCTTTCTATGCTAATGATTTCTTTTCTTTTTTCTGTTTCATTGCTGCAAATGAGTTTGATTGAAACTAAATGTTGTCCTTTGAGTTCACCGCTGCAATCGGTTACTCCATCGCATCCAAATGTGAGGAGTACACGGTCATCCCGCTTAAAAACCATATTGGCTATGGATTCAACAATGAGAGCAGAGTTCAGCGTCTCAAGGAGCTCTTTGACCGTCTAAGTGGTAAAAGACAAGAGGTGCTGCATTCCGTCGAAGATGCCAAAAAGAATCGCAAAGAGATTTTTTTACGACGTCGAAGCTTGGCTGTTCGCCGCTGACAGAAAGATCAAAGAGGTGAGGAATTTAATGGACGAAGCAGAAATGGCGACAAAGAAGTGCCTTATTGGGTTATGCCCTAATGTCAAGTCCCGATACCAACTCGGTAAGAAAGCGGACCTAGAGGCTATGGCTATTGCTGAACTCCCTGGAGAAGTCAGGTTTTTTGGCAGAGTTTCATACCGTACTGCTCCAGAGCCGATAACTTTTGAACCTGCTAGAGATTTTAAGGCTTTCCAGTCAAGAGATTTTGTTTTAAATGAGATCATGGATGCATTGAAAGATGATAGCGTCATCGTTATCGGGGTCCATGGCGTTAGTGGTGTAGGCAAAACCACACTTGTCAAAGAAGTTGCTAGGCGAGCTATGGAGGGCGAGTTATTTGATTCCGCATGCATGGCAGTTGTAACCCAAACTCCTGACATTAAAAAAATCCAAGATCAAATTGCAGACGAGTTGGCCTTAAGATTTGAAGAAAAGAGTATGGCAGTAAGAGCAAGTCAGTTGTGCTAAAGATTGATGAACGAGAAGAAGATTCTTGTTGTTTTGGATGATATTTGGCAAAGATTAGATTTGGAAGAAGTTGGAATTCCTATTGGAGATGAACACGGGGGATGCAAAATGCTGTTGACTTCAAGAGATCTTTATGTTCTAAATGGGATGAATGCTTAGAAAAATTTTGTTGTCAACGTTTTAAAAGAGGAAGAAACTTGGAACCTGTTTAAGAACATGGCTGGAGAAAGTGTTGAAAGTCCCGAGTTGCACTCCATAGCCATTGAGATAGCTAAAAAATATGCTGGTCTGCCATTTGCCATTAAAACAGTTGGAAGGGCTTTGAGAAATAGAGGTTTGTTTGAATGGAGGAATGCTTTGAACGAACTACGTGTTAGGAATGTGGGGTTCAGTTTCATTCTTTTAGACTAATCAAAGGCCATAGATCTTAGTCCTTTTTTTACTAAGCCCTACAAATAAAAAGTGAGGGCTGCATTTTTTTATAAAAATAAAGACATCAAAGAGAAAAAAAAAAAGCTAGAAAAGATAGAAAAAAGGGAAAAGGAAAAGTTGGTTCAACGAAAGTTGATTTATGATTTGATTGAGCTAAAATTTTGTTAGTAGATTTATGATTCAGAGTTCTACATTCTCAACTGAGAAGAACGAGCTTGAAACTCCCTGGGAACAAATTCATGGTATATTTGTTGAATCTTCTATTTGATGAGATTTCTCCAATTGTTTCTCTAGTTGTTGACTAACTCTAGTTTTAATTAGAGAAGAATTTAGTATAATTATTTGATAGCGAAGATTTTTTTGGTGGTCTATGGTTTTTTTTCCTTTCTTGGTGTGCTTTATTCTTTTGCATTTTTGATTGTAGATTGTTGTATATTACTGTGGGTTTATTATGATATATTACTTTTACATTGTTATATTTGTTGCTTCAAACCTAACAAGTGGTATCATGAGATTTTTTTTGGTGGTCCGTGATTTTTTTTCCTCTACACTAGAGGGTTTTTCATATAAATCTAAGTATGCTTTATTTTTCCTACATTGTTAATTTTTTATCTATTGTTGTGGGTTTATTGCGATATATTACTTCTGCATTGTTGTGTTTATTACTTCAGGTCCAACAAATAGTATCGAAATTAGGTTATTTTGAGATATCAATATATAAGCAACCCAAGACAAAAGTAAATTCTATTTGAGATTATGGAAAGTGATGCAGGTTTTATGATAAAATTAACAGTATCAAATTATTCAATTTGGAAGCCTATGATGGATGATTATTTATACTGCAAAGATTTATATGACATTGTATTAGGTGATTCAACTAAACTAGCAGATATAAAAGATGAAAGTTGAAAGAAGTTAGGCAGAAAAACACTGGTTACAACCAGAAAATAGGTTAATATCAGTGTGTTCCATCATTTAGTACAGGAGATAGATGCCCACATTGTTTGAGAAAAATTGACAACATTATATGAGAGAAAAATACGCATAAATAAAGTTATACTTATTAAAAAGCTTGCAATTTCACAGTACAAGGATAGATGATCGATTACAAAGCACTTGAGTGATTTTCAAGATATATTTAATCGAATGACTATTATGGAGCTTAAGATGGATAATGAAATAAAGGGCATTGTTTCTTTTAGGTTCATTGCCAGACAGCTAGAATACTCTAGTTGTGATTGTTCTTAGTTCAACTTTTGATTTCAAAGTGACATTAAATATGGTAAAGGACAATATGCTTAATGAACAAGTAAGGCAAAAAAATTTAGACATTGGGAATCAAGCTCTTGTCACAAAGAATAATAGTAGAAACATTGATAGAGGTCAAAGCTTAAAAAGCCATAGTAAGTCTAAACATACATCCAAGGCCAAAGATAAAGTGAAGTGCTTTTATTATGGTAAAGCAGGTCATATAAAGCGATACTATAAAATCTGAAAGTATGAGCGAAAAAATGAAAAAGACAAGAGTTCAGATGATGGCAATGTTGCAGCAGTGAATTCAAATAGTGATTTAATTACTTTGATTTATACATATAGTGATTGTAATCATGTTGGTGATCTCAACACTAAGTGAATAGTTGACACAGGAGCAGTATATCATTATGTTTCTAAGTGAGAGTTGTTTACAACTTACAAAACATGAGACTTTGGTTACACCAAGATAGAGAACAAGAATGTGTCACAAATTGTTGGGATTGGTGATATTATTGTACAAACTAGAATGGACTGCATGTTGACTTTAAGGAATGTTAGACACATTTCGAATATGAGAATGAAATTGCTTACTATTAATATTCTTGATAAGGAAAGATATGAGATTCGATGAAAGAATGGGCAGTGAAAGCTTCTCAAAGGATCTATGGTAGTTATAAGAGGAAAACTATGTTGCATAATATGGAAGACATAGATGTAATTTAAATGTCAACCAAATAAATGCTATTGAAGATAATGCTTTAGTAAACTTATAGCACAAGAAGCTAGCACACATAAGGGAGAAAGGGTTACAAATTTTGATAAGAGAATCTCTCATTACCTTGACCAAAGATATATCTCCTGATTCATGTGATCATTGTTTATTTGGCAAACATCATAGAGTTTTTTTTTGTAAGAGTTCTAAGAAAAAGAAGACAGGTTGAAATTGATTCATTCTAACATATGTGGTTTCATTGAGGTTGAGTCATTGGATGATAGTAGGTATTTTGTTACTTTTATTGATAATGCTTCACATAAAACTTTGGTGTATACATTAAAAAATAAAAGTAAGATATTGTAGTATTTTAAAAAATTTCATGCTAGGGTGAAAAAGATGATAAGGCTACCTTTGAAGTGTATTTGGACTGATAATAGTGGGGAATATACATCCCAAGACTTTGAAGAGTACTGTTCAAAGCATGAGATCAGACATGAGATGACAGAACCTAGAACACCGCAGCATAATGGTGTAGCTGAAAGGATGAACCATTTCATTATAAAAAACGTAAGATATATTTTCAAGATGACAAAATTACCAAAGCCATTTTGGGGTGAAGCAATTAATACGCTTGTTATTTTTTTAATAGATCACCATTAGTTCTTTTTGGCTTTGACATTCCAAAAAGAGTGTGGATAGGGAAAGATGCTTCGTATTCTCATTTGAAAGTTTCAGATGTAAAGTAGTCATGCATATGCCAAAAGAATAGAGGTCAAAACTTGACAATAAAGTCACACAGTGTATGTTTGTAGGATATGGTGATGAAAAATTTAGCTATAAGTTATAGGATCCAGTAAAGAGAAAAACAATCAAAAGTAGAGATATGATTTTTTATAGAAAGAAACCATAGCAGACCTTGAAAAAAATGAGAAGACTACATGGGTTACTGATGAATATGATGTTTTAATACCGATAGGGTTACCCTTAAAAAAGCCACAGATAATGAAAATGAGTAAGAGACAAAACTTAGGGATATGAATGAGCTAGTCATAGTTAGTGATGGACTAGATGTAATCAGTTTTTAGTAGGGAAAAAAATCCTCTCTACGTAAAAGTGTTGAGCAGAGTGAGTAATCCTTTCTACCAAAAAGTGTTAAGTAGTGAGAGCCACTTTTGACATCAGATAATGTAGAGTCTTAGCTTAATAGATCTACCAGAGAGCACAAGCTATCTACCAAGTATCCAAATTCAAAATTTATTTTAGTCACTAGTAAGATGGAGCTAGAGAGTTTTCAAGATGTGTAGACTACTCTAGATAAAAAGTACTAGTTAAAAGTAATGAAAGAAGAGATGGAGTCATTGCGAAAAAAATGACACATATGATTTTGTTAAACTTTCAAAGAGAAGAGGTTGTTGAAAAATAAATGGGTGTTCAAGTTGAAAAAAAAATGGTGACAAGCTAGTAAGGTACAAAACTCAATTGGTGGTAAAAGGTTTTTTGCATAAACCTGACATCGATTTTGTTGAGATCTTCTCTTCGGTTATGAAGATAAGTTCCATTAAAGTATTACTAGAATTAATAGCTAGTTTGAATCTTAAGTTTCAGAAACTTGATGTTAAGATTGCATTCTTGCATGATAACTTGCAAGAAAACTTTTATATGGATCAGCCTGAAGGTTTTAAAGTAAAAGGTAAAAAGCACTTAGTTTGCAAGCTGAAAAAAAACTTATATAGCTTAAAACAAGCTCCGTGATAGTGGTACAAAAAGTTTGATTCTTTGATGGTGAGCCACAGCTATGAAAGAATGACAATGGATCCTTGTGTTTATGTCACAAAATTCTCTAATGATAACTTCATTATTCTCTTATTTTATATTAATGATATATTGATTGTTGGACAAGATGCTAGCATGGTTCACAGGTTAAAAGAACAATTGTCTAAGTCTTTTGACATAAAGGATTTAGGTCCAATAAAGTAAATTCTTGATATGGATATTAACTAGGATGGGAGAGTTGAAAAGCTATGGTTATTACAAAAAACATATGTTGAACGGATGCTTAGAAGATTTAACAAGCAACATGCTAAATCAGTTAGCAATCGACTTGCCAACCATTTTTATTTGAGTAAGAAATCTTGTCCAGTGACTAAGAAGGAGCAACTAGCTATGTCTAGTATTCCTTATTCATCTGCATTCAGTTCTTTAATGTATCATATGTTTGCACATAGCCTGAAATTAGTCATGCAGTTAATGTAGTTAGCAGATTTTTTTTTAATCCAAAAAAGATTCATTGGGAAACAATGAAATATATTTTCAGATATTTGAAAGGCACATAAAAAATGTGCTTGAGTTATGGAGTTTTAGAATCAGTTCTAGAAGGGTTTTTCTGATGCTAACATGGTAGGTGATCTTGATGCTAGCAAATCTACTTCAGGGTATTTATTCACTTTTGCAGGAGATACTATGTCTTGGTAGTCTAAGTTGCAGATGTGTGTTACTTTTTCAACTATAGAGGCTGAGTATATTACAATAATCAAAGTATGTAAAGAAATGTTTGGATAAAATGTTTTCATCTTGAATTTGAGTTGAATAAGAAAAAGCATGTAATATTTTGTGAT